GACAGGAAGGAATAAGGGAGGAAAATAACAAACAAGCAGCCAACCAATGTTTCATTTAAACCTGTGAAATGCTATGCAATTACTGAGGGGTGATTTACTTCCAATTATGTGGTCACTTTAGAGTCGGTGTGATGTGGTACTGATAAGAATGTATGTTTTGTGTATTTGGGGTGGAGAGTTCTATAAATGTTTACTAAATTTACTTGTTCGGGTCTGAGTTCAAGTCCTGGATATCCTTGTTAATTTTCTGTCTTGTCAGTCTAATATTGACAATGTGATGTTAAAGTCTCCCACTATTATTGTGTGGGAGTCTAAGTCTCTTTATAAGTCATTAAGAACTTGTCTTGGCTGGGCACGGTGGCTCACACCTGTAATCCCAGCACTTTGGGAGGCTGAGTCTGGTGGATCACAAGGTCAAGAGATTGAGACCATCCTGGTCAACATGGTGAAACCCCGTCTCTACTAAAAATACAAAAAATTAGCTGGTCATGGTGGCGTGTGCCTGTAATCCCAGCTACTCAGGAGAATTGCCTGAACCCAGGAGGCGGAGGTTGCAGTGAGCCGAGATTGCGCCATTGCACTCCAGCCTGGGTAACAAGAGCGAAACTCCATCTCAAAAAAAAAGAACTTGTCTTATGTATCTAGGTGCGTATGTATTTAGGATCGTTAGCTCTTCTTGTTGCATTGAGCCTTTTACCATTATGTAATGTCCTGCTTTGCCTCTTTTGATCTTTGTTGCTTTAAAGTCTATTTTATCAGAGGTGAAAATTGCAACTCCTGCCTTTTATTTATTTATTTATTTTTGCTCTCCATTTTGTTGGTAAATCTTCCTCCATCCCTTTGTTTTGAGTCTTTGTGTGTCCTTGCATGTGAGATGGGTCTGGATGCAGCGTATTGATGGGTTTTGGCTTTCCATCCAATCTACCTGTCTGTGTCTTTTGATTGGGGGATTTAGTCAGTTTAAACTTAGGATTAATAATAATATATGTGAGTTTAATACTGCCATTTGATGCTAGCTGGCTGTTTTGCCCATTAGTTGATGTAAATTCTTCATTATATTGATGCGCTTTACTTTTTGATATATTTTTGGAAAGGCTGATACCAGTTGTTCCTTTCTACATGTAGTGCTTCTTTCAGAAGCTCTTGTAAAAGCAGGCCTGGTGGTGATGAAATCTCTTAAGTACTTGCTTATTCACAAAAGATTTTATTTTTCCTTCGCTTATGAAGCTTAGTTTGGCTGGATATGAAATTCTGGGTTGAAAGTTCTTTTCTTTAAGGATGTTGAATATTGGCCCCACTCTCTTCTGGCTGGTAGGGTTTCTGCTGAGAGATCTGCTGTGAGTCTGATAGGCTTTCCTTTATGGGTAACCTGACCTTTCTCTCTGGCTGCCCTTAGCATTTTCTCCTTCATTTCAACCCTGGTGAATCTGATGATTATGTGCCTTGGGGTTGCTCTTCTTGAGGAATATCTTTGTGGTGTTCTCTGTATTTCCTGGACTTGAATATTGGCCTGCCTTGCTAGGTTGGGAAAGTTTTCCTGAATAATATCCTGAAAAGTATTTTCTAGCTTGGATTCATTCTCTTCTTCACATTCAGGTACACCTATCAAATGTAGATTAGGTCTTTTCACATAGTCCCATATTTCTTGGAGATTTTGCTCATTCCTTTTTATCCTTTTTTCTCTAATCTTGTCATCTCGTTTTATTTCATTGAGTTGGTCTTTGACCTCTGATATTCTTTCTTCTGCTTGATCAATTCAACTGTTAAAACTTGTGCATAGGGCCAGGCGCAGTGGCTCAAGCCTGTAATCCCAGCACTTTGGGAGGCCGAGGCAGGTGGATCACGAGGTCAAGAGATCGGGACCATCCTGGTCACCATAGTGAAACCCCGTCTCTACTAAAAATACAAAAAATTAGCTGGGCACGGTGGTCTGTGCCTGTAATCCCAGCTACTCAGGAGTCTGAGTCAGGAGAATTGCCTGAACCCAGGAGGCGGAGGTTGCGGTGAGTCGAGATCGCGCCATTGCACTCCAGCCTGGGTAACAAGAGCGAAACTCCGTCTCAAAAAAAAAAAAAACAAAAAAAACTTGTGCATACTTCACGAAGTTCTTGTGTTGTTTTTCAGCTCCATTAATTCACTTATGTACCTCTCTAAATTGTCTATTCTCATTAGCATTTCGTCAAACCTTTTTTCAAGGTTCTTAAGTTTCTTTGCATTGGGTTAGAACATGTTCTTTTAGCTTACAGAAGTTTCTTATTACCAACCTTCTGAAGCCTGATCCTGACAACTCATCACACTCGTTCTCCATCAGTCCTTGTTCCCTTGCTGATGAGGAGCTACGATCCCCTGAAGGAGGAGAGGCATTCTGATTTTGGATGTTTTCAGCCTTTTTGCGCTTGTTTCTTCCCATCTTTGTGGATTTATCCACCTGTTGTCTTTGTAATTGCTGACTTTCAGATTGGGTCTCTGAGTGGGTCCAGATTGTTGGTGGTGATGTTATTTCTGTTTCTTTGTTTTCCTTCAGTGTACACCCCTCCCCCACAGAGCTGGACCTTCCCGGGTTCAGCTGTACTTGCTGTGAAACTCTCAACCATCAGCATTTCCAATTGCTGTTTTTTTGTGGGGGTGGGACCAGCCGAGCCCGATCACCTGCCTCCCCGCCTCGGAGCCCCCTTTTTTTCTTTTCCTAATTGAACGGTTGATTCTCTCCCAGGTGCCCCAGTCAGCCGCTAAAAAGGCGCGGGGATCTATGCAGTTTCCCATATGGCGACCGTGCTAGCAGCGCTGACATTCATGGCACTTTTCTGCCTAGGAATCTCCCGGTCTGGTTCCCGGCTCCAGTCCCCCTCTCAATCAGCTGAATGGCTGACTCTGCCCTCTTGGAGCTCCAAACACCAACTAAAAGGGCTCCCAGCCCCGCATACTCTGCACTGAGAACCGCCGCACCGGGATGCCGGCAAAACAGCCGTGCCGGCCAAAAGAGTTGCGTTGGCGACCCATGGGGCTCCTCCACTGGGAATCTCCTGGTCCGTAAGCAAGAAAAATTCGTCTGGAAGTCTGGTGTCCACTCACTCCCTGTGCCTTCACTGGGAGCTGCAACCCTGAGCTGCTGCTAGACAGCCATCTTGGATGTCTCTCTAAAGACCCCCTTTTTCTTTTTTTTAAAGACAGGGTCTTGCTGTGTTGCCCAGGCTGGAGTACAGTGGTATGATCTCAGTTCACTGCAGCCTCGACCTCCTGGGCTCAAGCGATCCTCCCACCTCAGCCTGCAGAGTAGCTGGGACTACAGGCATGCACCACTATGCCCAGCTAATTTTTTGTATTTTTTGTAAAGACAGGGTTTTACCATGTTGCCCAGGCTGGTCTTGAACTTCTTGACTCAAGCAATCTGTCCACCTTGGTCTCCCAAAGTGCTGGGATTTCAGGTGTGAGTCACTGTGCCTGGCCGGATACTAAATACTTTAAGTGTTGAAGGCCACTGTAGGCTGAAAACAGCTGTAGACAATGAGTGAATGATGTACATGGCTGTGTTCCAGTAAAACTTTAGTTACAAAAAAAGGTGGTGGCCTGGATTTGGCCCAAGGCTATGGTTTCCTGCTATCTGCCAAAATATGAGTTTTCTGTTTTATTTTAATAATGGTAAAACCTGAGAAGAAAACTATGGTTTTGCATGATATAATGAAAAAAAGAATGTAGGATTTGAAGTTAAGAGTCTGGAGTTCAAATCCTAATTCTAAATTGGCTATACAGCCTTAGAGATGTCATTTAACCTCTCTGATCCTTGTTTTATGCCTCTGTGCAATGAGTACAGTAATAATATGTACTTTACAGGGTGGGTGTGAAGACCAAAGGGAATAAGGGATATGAAAGTGCTCTGTAAACTGAAAATGCTAAGCACACATTGCTCATTCTCACAAATTGCTTGTTGCTCAGCATCTTGCAGACTCATGTATAATAAACATTAAATATTTAAGAGTAAAGCAAATTAGAAAATTTGAATGTAAATGTAATATAAACATGAAGACTGAGAAAAATGAGTTATACATAATGCCTTCCTATTTTCCTAAGCCAACAAAGTGACTTTGGAAGATGGTATAAATATACATTATTTCCAAAAGAGTTTTCCAGAGAAAAATTGGTTTTTACCATGGTTGTGAAATTTTATAATCATTAACACGCCCGTGGGGAAGCCAAGGAAGGAGGAAGTGTTGAGGGATGCAGGCAGGAGTTGAAAGAGCTGAAGCCTGAAGCGAAGCCATTGCAATGGGTTACAGGCGCACGTCTGTGGCCTGCAGAAAAGCATTTCAGTAGGGCAGGAACTAGCCCAGCGCAGGCCGTCAGGAGGGAGTGGGCAGGGAGGAAATGGAGGCATTAGGTGGAGACGGCTCTTTCTACGAGTTTGGCAGAAAAGAGAAAAAATAGGGTGTAGCTCAAAAAGGCATCAGGGTGGCATAGACATTATCATAAAGCAGGGGAGGCTGGTTTCTCTGTGGCAGTAACAACCCAAGCCCATGGAGCAGGATGGGGAGGCGGGGTGGGGTGAGGGAGACGGCCTGAGGGCAGACTAGGAGAGGAGTCGGGAACGGTATGGGAAATGTCCAGGGAAGAGGAACGAAACCATACTCCTGGGCAGAGGCCACGCAGGGTTGAGAAGCAGTCAGGAGGAGGTACTTGCAAAGCCGTAGAAGTCAGTTCCTCCTGGGAGCCTGCCCTGACCACCTCCTTTCCTTCCAAAGCTGGATTAAATGCCAGGCCGTACGCACCCATAGCCAGCTGTGTGTAGTGATGAGATGGTCTGTTTACTTGATTGTCTTGTCTGAAGACAGGGCTGCCGCCCTTCTTGTCTGTCTCTACAAAGCCTGACACGTACAGCACATGATAGATCCTCATTAAGTATGGGTTAGATTGGGTACAGACTATCTGGCTGGGGATCTAAAACCTTGAGAACTGGTTGTAAGTCATGTCTCTGGGTCTTTCTCTTTTAAACCCTGCTGTTGTAGGAGGAAATTCTGTACCTTCTGAAGGACTTCAGCCCTCTTTATGTCCACAAAATCCAGAATGGCTGCAAATGGTAATGACTGTTCTTCCTTTGTTTTCTTTGGGAAGCAGCTCCTTTCCTCCCTGTCCATTTTGCTGATCCACTCACGCTGCAGACTAGCCCAGCAACTGCCACATCCACACCCACTGTGACTTGGCAAAGGGACATTTGGGAAACCCCCTTTCCATATTTAACCCTCTGACCCAGCAGTGAAAACTGTCTTATCAACACAACCCTGGCTTAGAAGTACAGACACGTGGGTGTATTTTTGGTCATGTCCTTGCTCTGTTTCCTGACTTGCGATAAGTTACTATACCACCCTCAGCCTTGTTAGTCCTACTTACATTTTCCCTTCTTTTCAAGGCAGTAAAAAGTGCCTTGAACATTTGTTTGTTTGAGACGGGGTCTGGCTCTCGCTCATTCTGGAGTGCAGTGGTGCAGTCTCAGCTCACTGCAATGTCTGCCTCCCAGGCTCGAGCAATCCTCCTGCCTCAGCTTCTGAAATAGCTGGGACTACAGGTGTACACTACCACATCTGGCTAATTTTTGTATTTTTTTGTAGAGATGGGGTTTTGCCATGTTGCCCAGGCTGGTCTGGAACTCCTGAGCTCAAGTAATCCGCCTGTCTTGGCCTCCCAAAGTGCTGGGATCGCAGATGTGAGTCACCTCACCTGGCTTGCTTTGAACTTTTGGGGACAACAGTATTAAAGAAACTCAAAGTCATAGACCAATGATGCGTAGTGAAAGTCAACTCATTTCTTCTGCTCCTTAGCGGCCCATGGCAGTGTCTCACACTGGCCCAGACCCAAGCCTGGACATACTTGTAGCTTTCTTGTGTAGGTGGAACAGTTCATCTTCTGTCACTTCAGAGAGAGAGGACACTGCCCTTCCAGCTTGGGCTTGATGCCTCCCTGAAGCTCTGGGCTTCTCTGGAGATGTGCTCAAAGCTGCCCTCTTTTTTTTTTTTCCTGAGACAGAGTTTTGCTCTTGTTGCCCAGGCTGGAGTGCAGTAGTGCAGTCTCGGCTCACCACAACCTCCACCTCCCGGATTCAAGCTATTCTCCTGCCTCAGCTTCCCGAGTAACTGGGATTACAGGAGCTCCCACGACGCCCAGCTAATTTTGTATTGTTTAGTAGAGACGGGATTTCTCCATGTTGGTCAAACTCCCGACCTCAGGTGGTCCACCCGCCTTGGCCTCCCACAGTGTTGGGATTATAGGCATGAGCCACTGCGCCCGGCCAAAGCTGCCCTCTCTCTCTTCCCTTTTCAGCTTTGCATTTGTAGATCTGGGCTCCATGCAGAAAGTGACACTTGCAATCCAGGAGCTGAATGGCAAACTCTTCCACAAGCGAAAACTGTTGGTGAATACAAGCAAAAGGCCCCCCAAGAGGACCCCTGATGTGATCCAGCAGCCCCAGGCACCGCTGGTATGTCTCCTGGCCTCTCCTTGCTCCAGGGCCTTCCATTTTCACCCTTTGGAGTGTGGCTGACTTTCAGTGCTTCGTCCTCCTCCAGTCCAGTCTGATTGTGGAGAAGGAGGCAGGGTCTTGGGTGAAATCAGAGAACTTTTATGATCTTTAACAGTCAGAAGTAAGGTCAGATGCAGAAAATTTGGAATGTGTAAATTAAGGGGACTGTATTTTTGGCAAGGATAAAAAGGTCATTAGGCAGTTCAGTCAGGGCTTTTTCAACCTAGAATATTGAAATGCAGGTTTTCTTTGTTAACGTAGCAGACGTTGAGTGTCTCTACTGTTTGTATCGCCTTGTTCTGGTTGCTGGCATGAATGTAAGACAAAAGTCCATAAAAGCCCGTTCGGCCGGGCACGGTGGCTCATGCCTGTAATCCTAGCACTTTGGGAGGCCGCGGTGGGTGGATCACCTGAGGTCAGGAGTTCAAGACCAGCCTGGCCATCATGGTGAAACCCCATCTAAATAAAAAAAAAAAAAAAATCCCATTCTTCTTGGGAAGAAGATAAACATTGCCAAATATGAGATATGGGGGTCAGTTAATGGTGGGGGCTGCCTCTGCAGACAGAGAAGGGAAGGTCCATAAGTAACCCCTGGGAGCTTCTCTCAAAAGAGGAGGGCCCATTCTTGGTTTGCAGATGTGAACTAGGAGGAAAAGATCCCTTTCCAGAACCTTAAGTGTTAGTGCTAGAAGCTGACTTGGCTGTACATTTGAGGAAATCTGAACAATAGTGGCCTAAACAAGTTAGTGATTTGTTTTTCTTTCTTGTAGAAGTCAGGAGGTAGGGAGTCCAGGGTTGCTATGAGACCTCCATGATGGTATCAGGGTTCCAGGCAGGAAGAAGGGGAGAAGCAGAGGGCCAAAGGAGCCTATGTCCTCTTAAAAGGTGCATTTCCAGAAGCCCTGACCACAGTTCTGCTTATTTTTCACTGGTTGTCCCTGCAACTCATGGCCTTAAGTGCACAGGTGCTGAGAGATGTCCTTTTAAAAGATACATTGTTGGGTGACATCATTTTTCCTAAGGCTTGGCTTTTGTAGCATCTCAGGTGAGTGTTCTGGGTGCTTGCCAAGGTCTGTTCCCCTTGCTAGGCTGGAACTCTGTTGTCTCCAGTACTGTGAGACCTCCAGCATCTGTGTCTTCTCTCAGTGCCCTGTCCCATACCCTGACAGCAGCTGTTCTCTCTAAGGCCTCCCCATACTTGTCCCGCAGTTGGACAGCGTAGGCTTCAGCCAAGGACCTGAGGCAGACACCTAGATTCCTTGGACCTCTGGGTGGCTCCTTCCTCTCTGGTCCTCTGTCCCACAAATTCCTGTCACCTAAACTCTGTTTGTTGCTGTCCAGTGAGACTGTCACTTTCTGCTTGGGCTTCGTTTCCCTTTGCTGTGGTTTGGGAAAGTGTACCCAGGCAGAAGATGCCCCCAGGCCAGGGTGAATGTGGCACTCCCATGCTTTCCTTTGCTCAGGAAACAGCCCTCTGCTGTTCACTCTCATTAGTCCTGTGCTGGAAACAGTTGAGTTCCTATATTCTGTCCAGTTTTAGAGTCACTTGGGGTGAAAGAATTAACGTGTGTCATGCCAGAACCAGACATCGGGAAAGAGAAACACAGCTCTCACCTTTTTTTCTCTTGGGATAAAGATGAATTCCCAGCATTCCCACTGCTTTTAAATTAGAAATAAGTATACAAGAGCTGAACACAAAATCACCATACATGTGGGCATTTAAAAACATTCCTATGTAAACAACACGTGGGTCAAGGAAGAACTTATAAAGAAACTTAAAAACACTTAGAACTGAATAATGAGGAAAATACTACCCCTGAAAAGTTTTGGGATACAGTGACAGCAATATTTAGAGAGAAACATCCAATTCTAAATGAGCAAACAAGAAAGGTTGAATATTAATGAGCTAAGAGTTGATTGAAGAAGCAGGTAAAAACATTTTAAAACCCATGTAGAAAGTAGACATTAGTCGTTGGGCACAGTGGCTCACCCTATGAGCTGCCCAGGCTCAAGCAATTGTCCCTCCCTCAGCCTCCCGAGTAACTGGGATTACAGGTGCCCACCACCATGCCCAGCTAATTTTTATATATATGTTTTTAGTAGAAACGGGGTTTAGCCATGTTGACCAGGCTGGTCTTAAACTCCTGACCTCAGATGATCTGCCCACCTTGGCCTCCCAAAGTGTTAGGATAACAAGTGTGAGCCACTGTGCCTGGCCTGAATTTTTTTTTTTTTTTAGATTGAGTCTCGCTCTTGTTATCCAGGCTGGAGTGTAGTGCCATGTTCTCGGCTTACTGCAGCCTCTGCCTTCCAGTTCAAGCAGTTCTCCCTGCCTTAGCCTCTTGAGTAGCTGGGATTACAGGTGCCCTCTATCACGCGCACCTAATTTTTGTATTTTTAGGACAGACAGGATTTCACCATGTTGGCCAGGCTGGTCTTAAACTCCTGACCTTAGGTCATCCACCCTCCTCCGCCTCCCACGGTGCTGGGATTACAGGTGTGAGCCACTGTGCCTGGCCCTGAATTTTTTTTTAATATTGGTTGAATCTGTGGATGCGGAAGCCACAGATGTAGAAGACCAACTGTATTGTCCTAGGGCCAGACAGTTTGACCAATAAAATGTAATAGAAAACTTAAAAAGAGGCTCATTTGTATGCAGAAACTACTTATTATTCAGGTAGAGTGGTAGACCTCTGGGGAAAGGATGCACACTTGAATAAATTGAACTGGGACAATTGCCTATTCATGTAGAAAACTATGAAATTATACCCCCACCTTATCCCATGCACAAGAATTCTAGGTGGATTATCAACTTGACAGTGAAAGGCAAAACTTAAAAACTTTTAGAAAAAAACATAGTAGAATATCTTTATGATTTCAGTTCAGCTGATCTTATCAAATGTCATACCAGATATGATCTCAGGATAAGATTTGTCAGGTGAAAAAGAAAGATGGGGTAAGTTACCACCTCTTCGAAAGTTGATACATAAAGGAAGATAAATTCAAGCCAAGATCTGGGAGAAGATATTTGCAGTAATGTGACTAACAAAGGATCAGGAAAGGTGTCCGAGACTTTGGCCAGTGATTCACATCTGGCCCACTGCCCGTTCTTATTACTGCTGGCAAGCTAGGAATGTTTTTTTTTTTTTTCAATTACACTTTTTATTTTGAGATGAATAGCAGATTCACATACAATTATAAGAACAATACAGACCATATACTCTTTATCCAGTTTCTCCCCAATGGTAACATCTTACAAAACAGTATCATAACCAGGATGTTAACACTGACCTAGTCCAAATACAGAACGTTTTACTGTCTTTTGTTTGTTCTCTAGTTTTAGTTTCTCTGTTTTCCTGAGGCTTACTTGAACATTTTTAAAAATTCCATTGTTTGGCCTGGTGCAGTGGCTTCATGCCTGTAATCCCAGCACTTTGGGAGGCCAAGATAAGAGGGTGGCTTGGGGCTAGAAGTTTGAGGCCAACCCGGGCAACACAGGGGAACCTTGTTTCTCCAAAAATAAGTTTGTTTGTTTTTTGAGACAGAGACTTGTTCTGTTGCCCAGGCTGGAGTGCAGTGGCATGATCTCCACTCACTGGACAACCTCTGCCTCCTGGGTTTGAGATTCTTCTGCCTCAGCCTCCCTAGTAGCTGGGGCTACAGGCGTGCACCACCCCCATGCTTGGCTAATTTTTTTGTATTTTTAGTAGAGACAGGGTCTTGCCATGTTGGCCAGGCTGGTCTAGAACTCCTGACCTCAGATGGTCCACCTACCTCAGCCTCCCAAAGTGCTGGGATTACAGGTGTGAGCTGCTGCGCCTTGCCAAAAAATTTTTTTAAACATAAAAATAATAAGTAGGCTGGGTACGGTGGCTTATGTCTGTAATTCTAGCACTTTTGGGAGACTGAGGCAGGTGGAGTCCAGCCTAAGCAACATAGTGAAACCCTGTCTACTAAAAATACAAAAATTAGCTGGGTGTGGTAGTGCACATCTGTAATCCCAGCTACTCAGGAAGCTAAGGTGGGAGAATTGCTTGAACCCTGGAGGCAGAGGTTGCAGTGAGCTGTGATCGCACCACTGCACTCCAGCCTGGGCTACAAGTGAGACTCTGTCTCAAAAGTAATAATAATAATAATAAATAGAATTCCATTTTTATTTAATCTGTGAAGTGCAGCTCTCTGTATACCTTTTTAAATGGTTGTACTAGATGTTACATTATATACACATAACTTATAGCCTATTCAGGTTGGTTTTACCAGTTTGAGTACATCTGTTTACTTCCCTTTACCTCTCCCTGTTAACAGTGCAGTTGTAATTGAAATAAAAATTTACCATATATACGTTTAGATCCAAGTCAGAAAGAATTATATATATTTTTTGAGATGGAGTTTTGCTCTTGTCACCCAGGCTGGAGTGCAGTGGCACAATTTCAGCGTGCTGCAACCTCCCAAGTTCTAGTGATTCTCCTGCCTCAGCCTCCTGAGTAGCTGGAAGTACAGACATGTGCCACCATGCCCACCTAATTTTATATTTTTAATAGACACCAGGTTTCGCCATACTGGCCAGGCTGGTCTCAAACTCCTGACCTCAGGCGATCCACCCGCCTCAGTTTCCCAAAATCTTGGGATTACAGGCATGAGCCACTGTGCCTGGCTGGAAAGTATTAAAATTCTTGCTTCAACTGTCAAATATAACACAGAAAACTCAAGAAGAAAAATGTATAGGTTGTTGCAAAAGTTATTGCAGTTTTTGCCGTTAAAAGTAATGCCACTGTTAAAACCACAATAACTTGCACCAACTGAATATTTTCTCATATTTTTTCTGACTGCGTTCTTACTTTCTCATGTCCCAGAGTTCTTCCTTTTATCATTTCTTTCCTGTTTAGAGAACCTCCTTTGGCTGTTCTCTTAGGGTGGGTCTGCTATAACAAATTCTTACTTTTCCTTCATCTGAGAAT